AATCTGAACTTCAGTTGGCTGATATTATGACAAAACCTTTATCAAGAGACAGGATTAAGTTTCTGCGTTCCGAACTGAATATTTTAGATCTTAATGAAATAGGGAGAGTGTTGAATTAGATTTCATCACGTGATTATGTTTTGTCCTTGTTTATTTATGTTTTATTGATTAAAAAAAAGATGTATAATTGCTATAAATAAAGTTAATGTTTTTGCTGTAGTTGAAATTCGCCCACAACTTTATCTTTCATACAAAAAGTACTCTGTGTTGAATTAGTTTCTACAATAATGTTTATAGAATTGCACCAGAAATGATTTCCAGGGATCTTATTGAAATTCTCAAAATCACGGCACCAATCATAAACTTTGAATGTGAAAATGTTAGCCGTACGGAGAGAACTACTACTTATAAAGTATCTTTTCCCATAGAAAAGTTGTCCAAAGTATACAATCCCGAAATTTGGTCAGCAGGAGTAGCGGTCCGAAGATTTGAATTCCGCAAAAATTAACATCAAAAATACACATACTTACGACATTCACGATCTAAACTCTCACATCATAAAGGAGACTATGCACTTTTTGATAGAACCCTTGACCGGCATTATCAATGCGTGTTTTAGGGATGGAGTTTTTCCGGATATTCTCAAATTATCAATTTTTTGAATCGTATCTCACGAACAGGGAGCAGAGGGTATTTGTTAAGAATAGATACTCTAGTACCAAGCTAGTTGAACACGGTGTACCACAAGGGTCAGTTCTTGGACCACTTTTGTTTATCATCTACATCAATGATCTGTTCTTTCATTTATTTCCAAATAATATAGTGATGTTTGCTGAGATGCAACACTCATAAACGCAGATAAAAATACGGAAAACTTGGATATTATTATTGAACAGGCAGAAAATCAAGCGGAGTCGTGGTATAATGCCAATCATTCAAAATTAGATAGAGAAAAAAAACAAAATCTCATTATTTCAACAAATCATAACGTTGCGGCAGGTAATGAGGTTACATTGTTTGGAATTGTTTTGGATGATAAACTGAACTGGTCCAGGCACATAGAACAACTTAGTAAGAAAGTATCGAGCTATATTCATCTAATGCGACAACTAAAAAAGGTTGTTAACAGTAACACTCTGCTCTCTGCGTACTACTCAATAATACATTCTCAGATCACTTATGGGATTCTTCTGTGGGGGAACACAAGCTATGCTCTGAAAATATTCGTTCTACAGAAAAAAACAATGAGGATAATCGTTGGTGCGGACCTCAATGCTCACTGCAAGCCAATTTTCGAGAAATATGTTTGTCTATTATGTCGTGATAGACATTCATAAAAACAGACATTGTTATTCGAACGTATCTGAATCTCATAATCATAATACGAGATCAGCGAATCTGTTCAAAATACCTTTTTATCGACTTGACCTGTCCAGGAATAACTCACCCGAACTGCAGTTATACAAAAAGTTACCAACTAGTTTGAAACAACTTCCTCTAGGATTATTCAAGAGAAAATGCAAAGTGCTATGGTTAAAGTATTGTTTTTATTCCATCAATGAATTTCTCAAAGCTCCTTGGAACGACAACTCCATTTTATATTGAGGTTCAGTGTGATTTTTAATAATTTTAGACAATTGTATAGTATACACTCTTTCTTTTTTTTATATACTTGTATTATAGGTATTTTTTACTATTTGTCGTGTAGGATGAGCCTATGGAGGTATATGTATATTCATGTGTTTGTGGTATGCTCCTATTTACAGTGGAAGCATTGATCTTTCTATTTAAATTGTACACTACTTCAATTTTTGTTCCGAAAGGTGGAACACTGACTTGCTACAAATGTATTGTATGGATATGTAACGTGGCCAATAAAGTTCTATTCTATTCTATTCTATAATATTTTACTTACCGGTCATATTAGGCTGAAGAGATGGAGGAATCGATGATGGCATTGGTAGAGGAGGAGGGTGTCGTCTTCTATGTATAAAAATCCAAATACATGGATTAACCCGTTTGTCTTCAACTTTGTTTCGAATAAAATGGGACATCTGAAAAAATAGCCTATTTGAAGCCACGTCGTAATCGTTCTACCCATTTTTAAAAATATTTTTGTGCTCTTACAAGAAACAGAATGGATATTTGATTTGTTACATTAGGTTTCGTGACAGACTATTTTGAACAAATAGTTACAATATTTTTTTAACCCAAAACTTCAGGTTTCCAACATCAAAAATAACGAAATCCAATAGAATCATTGAACCACTATTTTTCCCCCTTGGGGGTGGACATACCTGATTCCCTTTCTTGATGCTCATTTACGCTATACAAATAACCTACCGGCATATTTCAAGATTCTAGGTTCAGTAGCTTTAGGTTTCGTGACAGACTATTTTGAACAAATAGTTACAATATTTTTTCAACCCAAAACTTCAGGTTTCCAACATCAAAACTAACGAAATCCAATAGAATCATTGAACCACTATTTTTCCCCCTTGGGGGTGGACATACCTGATTCCCTTTCCTGATGCTTATTTACGCTAGACAAATAACCTACCGGCATATTTCAAGATTCTAGGTTCAGTAGCTTTAGCTGAACGCTAATATAAGAGCGGGCAACAGCTCGTAATTTATATTGTTACTTAAAAAAAAGCAGTAACTAAAAAAAAAGCCAACTTGATTGAGTAATGGATAGCTTCGAGAAACAAATTATATTACCTACGAAGAAATTCGTAAAACTAACACAACCGTCAACGACGTCTGCCCCCGTTCGGGTTGCGTTCTTGACGATGACGCTTCATTGCTTAGACCGCCCCTCTACCCCCGCACATAGTCCCCCGTCGTCTTACAGTAGACGCGACGCGAAATGGCTTACTGCGTTTATCGTGATAACTTTCAAACGACTCGTCCAAATTACTTGGTGTAAAAGACAAAGTTTATCTATAATGAATACTCAGATCGACAATTGAATCAATTTTTATAAGAATCAACAGCTCGTAATTTATATTGTTACTTAAAAAAAAGCGGTAACTAAAAAAAAAGCCAACTTGATTGAGTAATGAATAGCTTCGAGAAACAAATTATATTACCTATGAAGAAATTCGTAAAACTAACACAAACGTCAACGTCGTCTGCCCCCGTTCGGGTTGCGTTCTTGACGATGACGCTTCATTGCTTAGACCGCCCCTCTACCCCCGCACATCGTCCCCCGTCGTCTTACAGTAGACGCGACGCGAAATGGCTTACTGCGTTTATCGTGATAACTTTCAAACGATTCGTCCAAATTACTTAGTGTAAAAGACAAAGTTTATCTATAATGAATACTCAGATCGACAATTGAATCAATTTTTATAAGAATTTGACAGATATTCTGAAATGTGCATTGTTAAAAAAGTATCCAATTTAATTGTATTTATAGCTCACTATTTTGCATATAGTGGCTACCATATAAGATGTAGATATATGCTATCGCGGACTTTTATTCAGAACAATTCAAGATTAACAATCTTATGGTACATTATCTGCATGTAACTACAACGGTATAGGCAGCGCACGTCAAGATAGCTCTCAAGGAACAAGAATTTTTCCGGCTCACTTGAAATTATCGTTATATTATGACCAAAATTATATAAAACTTTTGAGTATTGTAGCCTATATGTATGTTATTCTGATGTAAGTATAAGCTGTATTTATGTAAAGTTTCATCTGAATCCGTTCAGTCGTTTAGGCGTGAAAGAGCCACAAATAACCATACATGCATACATCCTCAAAAACTTCCACATTTATATTAGTACAGATTTATTATCCAGGATTTGAATGACTTCAAAGACCATGTTTCATTTTCAACTGCAATGAATTCCAATTATTGAGAAAAACAAGAACCACTAATGAGACCAGAAATCTGGTCATCGAATCTGACAGATGAGAATAAAGATGTTGCCACAAATACGAAGTATCTGTTCCACTCTTTTGTAATTATCAAATGGTTTTGGGGAAGAACTAGCTGGATAACAGATATTTCTTGTCAACCCCAGTAAGTTTGCGATGTATCTGGAGAAAGGGGTAAGGTGGATGTGATGAACTTGGATATTCAAAAAGCGTTTGATCAAATTGACACATTTATTTTTTCAAAGAAGTTGAGTGCTATTGATTTCCCTAAAAAATCAGTGAAGATGTTTAAGATGTAAGTATCTATTCGTTTGCAAGCAAGTATGTTGAATACGAAAAATATGTTTCTTTTATTATCAGACCTACATCTGAAGTCCCCCAAGGATTGAACTTGAGATCTTTGTTATTTCTTCTTTTTATAAATGACCTCATATTCAAAATAGTTCGTTTCAGTTTCATGTATACCGAATATATTCTGTATAATGTTCTATAAATGTTCGAACGTTTATTACTTACACTTGATGTACATATAACGCTGAAAACCAACACCAGAGAGATGTTTCTCAACATTTTTCTATTTCAACGGGGCACACAATACTACATAACATCATTACGTTCATTACTCTGAGTTTGATGAAATCTCGTCAATCACATTTGATGTGAGCTGAATTTTCCATTATTAAAGTAATTATCCTTTCAAAATGAGGCTTTTTTACAATCATTCTATTGTTAACAACAATACATACATAACTATGAAAATAATACATCCTATGGAAATCATTGTAATGCCGGCTATTTTAGCTAACAAATGTATCCCAAATTGATCTGAATCAGATTTGCTTGAGGGGGTCTCGAAAGTAGTAACGATATATTTCATATCACTCATCTGAGGTGAGTATATATATTTTCCTTCAATCCATTATTAATTATTAAGTTGGTTATTTTTTTCAAAAAAAACTTTCAAATGGGTGAATATCTCCACTTCGCTAATGATATAAAAGTGATTATTCATTGTCGTGGAAAAGGTAGACTTTTATTGACTTCTCGTAAACCTTTTCAGTTCAGTCTCAGGATAGACTCTACTCCTTAAAAAATGATTAGATATATAATATAATCATTTGATAGGTAGAATTGGAACCCCTGGTTTGAAATTAATCTATTAAAACTCTTTTCACACACCAACCAAGTTAGTTTCATCAGGAGAGCTTCCCAAATTTTTATCAATGGAGTTGTCAGTTGATTGGTCAATCCACCAACGCCGACATGAAAACTTGACAAGCAAACTTGGGTGTCACACCCATAAGTGGTTCCACTCATGTCTCGCTTGCTTTCAGGCAGATATTTTCATCAAGTACTGTTTTTTACATTTTGTCTTCAATCGAAGACCGCCTGCCCGGTACTGACGATGCCCAACAGGCATCATTTCTAAAAACATGTGAATTCGTTTTCCGATGACATTCCAAAAAAGCTTTCCAAATTCTTACCAGTGCAGTTGTCAGTTAATTGTTCAGATCACCAACGCCAACATAAAAACTTGCCAAGCTAACTTAGGTGTTACACCAATAGGTGGTTCCACTTATGTCTCGCTCGCAGCTACTTTTTTTTATCAAGTACTGTTCTTGGTTTTTCACATTTTGACTCCAGCGCGCCATACACGATGCGATGGATGAGATACCTCGCATCGAAACAAGAACGGATCTGGAGAACGCCACACACCAGCTGCAACAGGCGATCATTCAAACGATGAAAAAAAACGCACGTGAAGTCCCACTCCTGCGCTTTAACTTCCAAGAGTATCTTCCACCAGAAACGGTGGCATTGATCAGAATAAGAAAACGCCTGAAAAGACAATACCAAAGGACACGTGCACCTTTGGACAAAAGGTGCATGCAAAGAGCCAACAGGATATTGAAAGAAGAACTGGAAGTTATCCGAGATAGACAATTTACTACCCGTCAGGAAGAACTGAATACTGAAGACCAGTCTGCATGGAGAATGCAGAAAGTACTCAGGAATGGAACTCGACAGCTATGCCCGCCAATACACGGCGAGCAAGAAATCGTCTACACTGACCAGGAGAAGGTGGAAGCATTCGCGGACAACTTCGACCCTAGGAAGTGAAATACATCCTTAGACGTCTATCCACTCGAAAAGCACCAGGCCCTGAAAGTCTTACCACGCAAGGGTATAGCAGCCATAACCAACATCATAAATGCTATACTCAGATTGCAGCACTTCCCGTACTCGTTCAATGAGGCAACGGTTATCCACATCCCGAAGCCCAAGAAGAACCACCTGTTCCCAGATAATCACAGGCCAATTAGCTCATTGCCTTCCATAAGCAAAGTGGCGGAGCGTGTCATCTTGAAGAGACTCGAAGATCAAACCAGAGAGCTAGGATTCCTTTCGGATGAACAATTCGGTTTTAGAACAAAACACTGGACAGAGCTACAAGTCCTGAAGGTAATAGACTTTGCAACCGAAGGCTTCAACCTCGGCAAAGGACACAACACCAGAGCTATCTTCTTAGACGTCTCCAAGGCGTTCGATAGAGTTTGGCATGATGGCTACTAGCCAAGATGAGCGATTTTGGATACACAAAATCAATGGTAAGATTAATTCAGTATATTTTAGCTGACAGGCGATGCCATTGCAGAGTAGGAGACGAATTATAAACAATTCGACTACTGGAAGCAGGGTTTCCGCAAGGAACAGTCCTTTCGCCACACTTCTTCTCCGTATACACAGCGGACGTGCCCAAACCAGAGAACAACTTTAACAAGTTGGCGCTCTATGCGGACGACACGGCCCTGCTGGCGAGATCTACGAGTCAAGCGCATGTCACGAGATATTTGCACCAACAGGCAGACAGATTAAAGGAGTGGGTCAACCTGTGGAAGATTAGTATAAACCCTGACAAGAGTCAGGCAATACTGTTTACCCGGAGGAGGGAACACCCGGAAGAAAATCTCATCTTCAACGGACAGGAGATTCCGTGGACCAACGAAGCTAGATACTTGGGAGTCAACCTAGACAAAGGATTAACGTTCAGGTCTCACGTACGGCAGAGAATAGGAATGGCGAAATCTGCCCGACAAAACCTATTACCAATAATAGGTCAATAATAGGTCGAAGAAGCAACATGGTACTGAAAGTGAAGCTGCTGATGATAAAGACCGTAATAATACCGATAATCCTGTATGCATGCACTGCCTGATGTCAGCGCGCAGCGACATAAAGAAGACAGATCCAGTCGTTTATGAACGCGTGCGTAAGGGCCGCCGTAAACACTCTAAGATATGTACCGAATAGGTACATATTCCGGGATTTAGACCTGAACATACACTACGTGGATGCATACATGTGGAAACACGCAGAGGACACGTTCGACAGAATTCGAGCGCACGACAACCCAGCGCTAAGCGAC